CTTGGGTGACCTAATCTCTTCCGATTCAGACGCTGACACCGTTTATGAGGACAGGGCGACTACCGTGTTCCACGGGACGGCAGAAAGTAACGGAGTTAGAACAAAGAAAAAGGGTGGTTGAGTGAGGTGGGTACGCTATCTGATTATATGGTTCGTGAAAGAGAGAGAAAGTTAAAGTGGCGTTGTTGTATATTTACTCATTTACCCTTTTCGTGTCTCATGGGTACAGTCCACTTTAGTCTTTAGTCCTTCGTTTGGTCTTCGGGTCGGGTTGACCCGGTATCCCTGACTGTGAGTGTCACCCACTTTTTCTCTTCTTTTTCTACTTTTGACTGTCTTATCTATCTTCCCTTGATTTTTCCATCATCCTGCCATGCGATGATTTTTCCATGCCTGGAGCCAATGAATCTTTTTTTAGCAAGTAAGGTTTTATTCCCAGCCATTGTGAGGTTATGTTCATCGCAACTTCTTTTTTCTTGATGCTTTTCCTGTTCCTTGCTTAGGACGAGATTTTTATTAAATGCTTGCCTGACTTACTTTTAGGACGAGACTTTTCATGTCTCACTTGAAGTTATTCCAACTTGATTTTGCTTTAATTTCTTGTTTTTGATGTGAGAATATAGATAACGTGAAATAAGGATATACAAACAAACATTCTAATGCTTTGTTGGGAGAGATGAAAGAATGGAAAGGAATAAAACAGAATAAGTAATAATTAATTTGATAAAAGATAAAATAAAATGTAATAAAATTTATAATTTTTTGATAAAATTAAATGAAAAATATAGTAAAGTTAATATCTATAATTATTATTTTATTCTCATTTTATAATATAATTTGGATTAATATTTTTTTATGTTATGTAATTTTATACATTTATCAAATTTCATAAGAATCTCACTGAAAAGGTTATGAAAAATAAAGTGGAATCTACTTTTAATTCTTTATAATTATTATTAAATAATTTCTATAAAATATAAATTTTTTTAAAAAAATTTATTTTGATCCATTTCTTTCGCTATTAATAAATCTCCACTAAATAGGTAAGAATTTTCAATGGGCTCGCTTTGAACATTTTTTGACCAATTTTTCAGTTGTTCGACTTCTTTAATAGTTTATTTGAATTAGTTACCTTACCGGTTTACTAGTTTTCCGGTTAAACCAATAGATTTATTCTGGTTTTCAAAACATCGGGTTTAATAATTAATATCTTTTTAAGACAAATTTCTTTGATTTATTTTATATTGAGCATTATCTTTAATGTTAACTTTATTCTGTTTAATTTACTTGTCTTACTCGCTCTAAGGATGATTTGATAATTAAAGTAATTAGATAACTAAAAGAGTATGTGTATGAGCAACTAACTTACAATAAATTTGAAGAATATAACTGATTTTTCTCTTGTAATAACCAGGGATTGAGATATAGCCGTAATTTGTCACATAATTTATTTTTAGTTTATTATTTTCATTTATAATGTTTTTGACTATTAATTTTAACATTTATTTTAATTTATTGTTATTATTTACTATCCAATTATTTTGTTACATATTGTTGTATCTTTCTGTATATTATTAATTGTAATTTGTTTTTTTCTCCTCGTATAGAGGATTGCTATGTGAAGGTAATTTGTAACATAATTTGTTATACTTGTCTGTGTTTATTCTTTGGAATTTTAATTTAACATCTATTTTCATTTATTGTTATTATTTTTTATTCATTATTTTGTTATATAATTTGTCATATGTTTTTTATTATTATTAATTAGTATTTTAGCATATGTAACATATTCATTATATATAATTAAAATTTATAATATATATATATATAATATTTTAATGTATAAATTATATTTTAGATTTATGATAAATAATTATTATAATAGTACAAAAATATTTTATTTATTAATAATTTATTTTAAATTATAAAATTTAATTCATAAATAATTATATTTTATAAGAAGTTAAAAATCTTTATAAACTTTACCATTGATGAAAAGTCATTAAAAATGTTTTTTTTTCGCAAAATAGTAATTTTTTTTTAATATACAGGGGTTAGTTTTAGTTTTAATATTAATTTTAATATATTATTATTCATTACTCAAATATTTTTTATCGTGTTTTATTGAATTTCCTTATAGATATTGTATTATATATTTATATATCTATATTAATTGTAACCAAAAAAATATCTTTATATTAAAAAAAAAGCATGTATTAAAGAGAAATTAATCCTTATATATTAAATATGGACCTCTATATTGTATAATAGTATTTTTAGAAGTTTTTTTTAATGAAATAATTTTTTTAAAAAAATTGTTTTTATCTAATTTAAGTTTATATTTATCATAATTATTTATGTATTAAATTTAATATTTTAAAATAAATTATTAATCAATTAATTTCTATGTATTAAACATAAACTACTATCTTGCACGAGATTATTTTTAAGAGTTTTTTTTTTTCAACAAATGAGTTTTTGAAATTTATTAAAAATTTCTTATCTAATTTAATTTTCATTTACATAAGTATTTATGAATTAAATTTTAATATTTTTAAAATAAATTA